AGGTGCTGTTGATGCCATGCATGGCCGCCCGGTCCAGCGGCTGGGCCGCTGTGATGATGCCGGTCTCGGGGTTGATGGCCAGCCACCCTGCGGGGTCGCTGCCCATGCGGTACCTGGGGCAAGCAAGGGGTCAGTGGGGGCGGGGCAGGAAGGGGCACATGGCCCAGTGCAGCCCCTCGGGTGCCCCAGCATTGACACCCCCCACACTCACGTGATTTTCTGCATCTGATCCTTGTCCGGGTCCTGGGCAGTGTAGGAGGTGACCTGGTGCCCTACCGGCAGCTCCTCCATCACCTCCACCCTCTTGACCGGGGGCACAAAGACGGGGGCTTCGTTCACGTCTTTGACCGTTATCAGGACGCTGGCCGTGGAGAGCGGCAGGGACACGGTGAAGGGGACGGCGTTCTCCACTGTCACCCTGAGGTCGTACTGGCTCCTGGTCTCATAATCCAGGCCCTGGGGGTGGGAAGGAGAGAGGAGCCGGGTAGAGCCAAGCAGGGAGGCAGCCGGCTCTGGGGCAGCCACATGACGGCAGGACCCACCTTGGCGGTTTTCAGGATGCCATCGTTGGTTTTGGGGTCGGTAGTGATGCTGAAGTCACCGTCCTGGTCTCCGCTCTTGATGCGGTAGACAGCTTGCCAGGCAGGGGACCCCTGCATGTCCTGGTCTGTCACGTGCAGCCGGGCCACCACCACCCCCACCTCATTCTCCTTCACCGACCCCTCGTACTGCAAGAGAGGGGACAGGGACAGTCACCCATGCGGTCCCAGGCACCCCGGGGCAGGGGCACTCATGCCACGGTGGCCCAGGGAGGGCAGTGGCTTGCGGGAGCTGGCTCGGCTACCATTCTGGGGTCAAAGATGGGGGAGTTGTCGTTGGCATCAGTGACTTCCACGATGGCAGTGGCGGTGTTGGTCAGGCCGTTGCCCTCCTGGTCCGCAGCCTGGATGATCAGTGTGTAGTTGGGAGTGGTCTGCAAGCCAAAATCACCACGGTTAGGGCAAGGATGAGGTCCGGTGTGTCCTCCTCCTCTGGGGGCATCGCCTGCCTGCTTTTCCACCCTTCTCCAGCCACGGTATTCACTTGCCGCTG